AGGTTTTAAATCAGATGAGGCCCAAATACACTGCTACAAAAAGCACCCTTCTCCTGATGTCTGCCACATCTCAGGTACTTCAGTTTAGGTCACCTATGTCAACAGTAAACTAGAAATATCTTTTGCTTTTTCAGGCGGATATCTCAAAGCCCTTCAAAGTTGCTCATATTAGTTCTGAACTGGAGTATCTAATTAGAGGAAAAAACATAATGACTTAAGGAAACAAGTTTTCTGTAACTATATGCTGCCATTTTTGAGGATTGACTGCTTTATGGAGAGCGTTTCTAAATATGATACATGTAGAATTAAACTGTCATTCAAACACCTGCTATTTGCCAACAATGCACTGCAGGAATTTTTTAATATTTAGAAGGTATGCAGAGCCTTCAATCAAGAAGCAGAAGAACACACAAAGCAATCCCTGGCTGCACACAGATTCTGGGGTAGAGGTTTAAAAACATAAAATTTTAAAAAAATAAAGTATTTCCTCCTACTACATATGTTTCAAAGTCATCACTACTTTTGTCTTATTCCTTATACAAGTAGAATGTCAGAAGTCTCCTTTCTCCTCTGTGAGGCCTGTAACGACTGTTTCACCCCTTTTGCCTCACTTCACCTTATCCTTCCACTGATGAGCGATTTCCACTTTGTGGCCTGGATTTTATTTTAGTTAACAATTGTGTGGGAGCAGAGGGGGATCTTTTTAAAGCCTTCACCCAAGTATCATTAAGTTTGGTAGAAAGACTTCTACCTTTTCTAGAAAGTGTCAGAAGGAGTCTGCAAAAATAACAGGTGATTAAAATTCACCCACTGGAAGACTAGTAGTTCTATGTATCACAAAACTTACAGCATCCTGCAATGCTTCTTTGGCTACCATTTAAAAAAAAAAAAAAAAAAAAATACACTGCATCTCCTACTTCCCCTAAAACTCTGAGTGAATTTTTGTCATACTTTCTATTATCTGAATTCCATATTTGCATTATTTTGCCCAGGATTATTACTGTCATCAGTTCCGCAGTTACCAAAGGCTACCTCGAGCCTTACTGGGTATGGGCACACATACAAAAACCCACAGCATTTTCCAGCCTTTCAGAATGCTCTCAGTACTCCAAGACCAGTAAAAACGAACATGGAAGGCCAGCAATCACCACAGGCAACTGCTTCTGGAAACTGGGAGGAAATTACCAAGATTTACTGATTTTTTTTATTTAAGCCTATTTAAACCCATTCCTGATAAAATACAACATTTAAGATTTTCCACTTAGTTACTAAGTGGAAACACATGGAAATGCTGAGAGAAGTACATTATCCTACTCGTTTCCAAAAAGAAATTATTTTTGAAAACTTCTGACTTTCTTGTAACATCCTTTCTGTTATAAAAATACAAAGAACAAACATAACTTCAGCAGCTATGTCACAGCTAAAGAGTCTTCCTAGGTCCCATTTAATTCAGTCTGTCTCTTTAGTCTCAACAGGCATGGATTACTGATGGGAATTTTAAGATTATTTTATGATTTTTTTTTTTTTTTTGCTAAGTTTTAATACAAAATCTCCTTTATTTCCTCTATAAGCATCAATAATTTTAAGCTTCGGTACACAGAGCAAAAGAAAAAAAAAATCTAGATAATTCTCTCAAATTGCAGTATCTGAGAAAGTTTTAGAACACACCTGCAAGTCAGATGGTAACAGGACTAGATGGCATTCACCCAAGAGCTGTACACCTTTAAAATGCAGCTACCAAACAACTAATTGCAGGGAATAAAGTATCACTTTATTTAACCTGGTGAACTTGAAGCCTAAAACTAGCTTTTTAAGCAAACTGTTACACAATTTAAAAAACCCACAACGAAAACATACAGATGGACAAGGACAGTACGATCGATAGTTCATCTGAATTCCCACTGAAGTATTTTGCATGGGCTTCTCCAAACAACTTTAAAGAAAAACTCACTTTCTTTTGTGAATCAGCAGCTGGTTAAAACATAAGAATAAATCAAAAGCAAATAAAAAAAAAAAAAAGAAAAAGGCAGCAAGTAGGGTCCTAAAAGAAACAGTGCTGCTCAATGTATCTATGCGTGATCTCAGAAGAAAGATGAATAGCAAGGTAGCAACATTTAGTAGTGATAGAAAAATTATTTAGCTTAAACCTACCAAAGCTGTCACAAACAGCTGCAGAATGATTTCATGTTAGTAAGTAGCCAGACAATGAAATTGCAGATTTAACTCAGTGCTGACAAAAGCAAAGTACTAATCATGGGAGAAAACCCCCCGCCGAACAAGGACCGCTAAGTTAGTTAACATCACTCTGATAAGGGACCTAGGGCCATCCAGGACATTCAGACAGAAGTGCCCAAGTCTTTACTACGGGCATGCTCGGAAAATAAATACTTGCAGGATTTGTAAACATCACCAACAGGTATTTGAGCAGCAACTGCATCACTTCAGGTGAATTTCTCTTTTTGAAAAGAGGACAAGCAGGGGATAAGCCATTTGCCCCTGTCCACTATGCCCTGACTGGCAAATCCTTTCCTCGGGGCTTGGTTCAGCCTAACACATGAGCTTTCGGGGACCAGTCAACGTCTGCAGTGTCCTCTGGATCCTCAGGAAGTCTCCCATTCTCTATCGGTTCTGAAGCCAGGCTGTCCATCTGCCCTTCGCTCATCTGAGATGTATTGCACGCTCTCCTGCGCCCCAAGTTTCTTTCCTGCTGCTCTTGTGCCTGCCCCATCCCATGTTCTGGGAACTTCTTCCCCCAAGTATTCTCAGATGATCCCAGGAAGGAGCCATCTCTCCTCCTTCCGGAGGTCTTCGTCTGACCTGAGTGCCACAGCCAGGACAAAGTAAACAAGCAGCCTCCCTCTGTGATGCACGGTAATCCTTCTGAAGAAATATGACATTTTAACATACAACTAGAACAGATCCTGTTTGTTACAGCCATTTAGAAATGATCTTGGAGCCACTGTTCAAGGATCTCAAAATAGAGCAGCAGCCAAAGAGGTAAAAGTAATGTCAAAAGTTATTACAAGAAAGAATAAGCAAGTAAACAGAAGGCATGACATCACTTGACTATCATGTGTTTGCATCTCAAGTGCTGGTCTGGCTAGCTTCTATCAGAAGAGACAGTAGAGCTCAAACAAGTACAGCTGGTCTGATTAGCTTCTCTTAAGAGAGATTGAGCAGAACATGAAACAGCGCAGCTTCTAATGGAAGATGCGTTAAATTTGACTGGATATATAACTACAGCTCAGAAAAACAGATACAGAGAAAGGCATGAATCGTCTTAAGGAGGTGAACAGACAGTTACTTACAGCTTCCTATAGACCCAAGAATGGGGACACCTCACAAAGTTACCAAGCAGCCAACTCAGGAACAGGCAGAATGAAACACTAATTATGTTCTGCATGGGAAGAATAAACCCTGTGGAACTTACTGCCATAGATGGTTAGGGAATCCAAAAGCTCAACTGAGCTCAAAAACTCAGCTGGTTACACCAGTTCATAAAAAACAGGTTTATAAAGGACCCTCAAATGTTTTACAACCACTGCTGTTTCCGAAAAGCCACTAACCTGGGTGCCTGTCAGAAAGTGGGAGTGCCTACCTTATATTTATACTGTTCTAAACTTCTCCCAAGTACATCGTTAGCAGGAGCAGGTATCGGAGGGTCCTGAGCCAGCTGGACCTCAAGGATGACTGTAATTTGCCAGACTGGGCTACATTGTTATTTCTGACTACTATTTTCTTATTTCTATATATCTCACTGGCATAGATGGCTACAAATGTCTGGGTACCATCCACATGCTCTAGTTCCTAGATGGCTTCCAGAACAAATTTTCATAGAATCACAGAATGGTTTGGGTTGGAAAGGACCTTTCAAGGCCATCTAGTCCAACCCCCCTGCAGTGAGCAGGGACATCTTCAACTCGATCAGGTTGCTGAAAGCCCCGTCCAACCTGACCTTGAATGTTTCCAGGGATGGGGCATCGACCACCTCTCTGGGCAACCTGTGCCAGTGTCTCACCACCCCCATCGTAAAAAATTTCTTCCTTATATCTAATCTGAATCTACCCTCAATTTCCACCAGTTTCAAGCCATCAGGTCTGACACGCAACATAAATATAACCAGCTAAATCAGCAGTAGCATCTTTATTTACAGCTCACCTAAAACCTGCACTTTTCTGCAACAAAACTTACGGTCTCCTCCTTCTTTTAGGAATTTTAAGAATGCCTTTAATTCATAACGTATTCCCCCTTGGAGACCTTGCTTTACGTAAAATCTCTTGCCTTTGTAGCATTAAGAAAGCTTTTCCTAACTGAATTACCGACAGGAAAATGACCGAGTCAGCCAGCTCCACTGCTGGCACCGGGAAGGATCGCAGTGCTCCCACAGGCAGCCAGTCCATCTCCAAATAATCCTAAGGCAGTGAATCCCCAATGTAATTACACGCTGCGTGACAGTGTAGTTCCTCTTGTTTGCTTTCAACTGCCTGCTTGATAACTTTGTTGGACGCTTCCAATTTCTCACCTTACGAAAACGTGTGAGTAATCACAGCCTATTCACTTTCACTACCCCAATGACAAAACGTACTACGTGTCATTTCCATATTGTTACTTCTTGGAACAGCCACAAGCAGTTCCCAGAAGTATAGATAGCCACCAGAAAGAAAAAAAGAATTTCCATCTACTTCCCATCAATTATGTACATTAAATTTGAGCTCAAGTTTTGAGAAGCACTTATGCTGGTTTTAGGGAGTAACCTGACCAACATACATGACTAGACTGTAGACTCAACAGCGGCAGAAGAACTGAGCTTCTCAGCTGCATGTAACCAGCTCTGAATCTCATCAGCAGGACCGTCCCAGTGACACTACAGATCCCTCTCAAATGACTCCAGGTATTAAATATCAAGAACAATCTCACTAGCAACCACCAGAACACATAATATAGCATTACAAAGCACGTTGTCATTACTGAGCTTAAAAAGGAAAGGTAGCTGTGCATACCTTCAGTAGAAGTTATTTCAAATGTGAAATCTTCTCCACGGACAGAGAAACATTTGGGTTACAGTTCCTGGAATATGCCCAGCTTCAGAAAATTATTTTCATCCAGTGTGAATTCTTTCTCAAGCTTCCTATCCTGGAAAATATTTTTAAAAGTTACTATTAACCAAAGGTAACTGAGGGCCAAAGATTTTTTTTCTCCCCCTGAACAAACTTCCACATAACCTTTCAGCCCAAAGAAAAAATTGAGCAAGACCGTAGGTGACTAACACTCTTTGCAAAGCCACCACCACCATGTCAGACATGCTCCTTTCAGTTGCCCCTCCTTCTGTAGCACTGGGCAAACACGAACCTTCGTACCAAGTTGTGACAAGGCAGGGGTTAACAGCCCCTTCCCTTTACAGCCCTCCGGCTCAGCTGTGAGACTTATACATTCATTCAAGAACACATGTTTGTTTTCTTGACATCACTTCAAAAGAAAGTTATAGGTTGTCAAGGAAACCTAACAGTCATTTTCACTTGTTCCAAGAATAATCGCAGCAACAATACACGTATTTCACATTCGGTCTGGGGCCCCCATTACCTAAGGAGGCGGCGAGGCACTCGCCTCCGGACGAGAGTTTACAGGGGTTTCAGGAGGTGATTCGCAGAAGGGAAGCAGGCAAGAGAACTAAGCTTGGCTTAGCCTGCCGAGCTCCGCCCACAACTGACAGAGCTGGGTTTTAACCAAGACCCTCTCCAAATCCAGGTATTCCTTTTGTACTGTGGGGTTTTGACCAAACTGAAAATAACAGCAATTAGTCCCTACATCGAATGATAATGCTCCCACACTATCCCAATAAAAAAGTACACTCACATTATTAGGGCAAATACTCTACATATCCCAACAGCCTTGCAAACCTCGGTGTCAGAACCCAGAGAAGGCACGACAGTCTAACACAGAGAGCACCAGCAGAAAGAACAATATATTTTCTCATCTTCTTACCAGTAATTACTTAATTGGAGGTACAATATTCACCCAAAACTGAAGTAATTAATTTGAATGGACAGCGTACACAATTTTATTGTGCATATTTAAGGTCTGTAAATTTGATGCCTTCTTTTTTCCCAGCATTTGTCCTACAGTCTTTTAAACATTATAAACGATAAACTGAACATAAAGGACTGCAGCATAGATTTAAAATCATAACCTCAGGCCCAAAAATTAAAGCGCTGCTCTGAAAACAGACTGAATTGTTTTGCAGAGAAATCACCGTACACCTCAGATGTAGTCAGAATACAGCAAGAATACTTCGAGACAGAGCTTGAGAAAAAGCTACGCTTTTTGATTCTACATATCCCCTTAAAAGTCAAACTCCATTTTGGAAATTAATTTGTAGTTGTGAATATTTGCTGTATTTCCACTTAAAAGCAAAGGGTGAGAAGAAAACCTCTGAATAATGACTTTAAGTTTGGCAGAGTGTAATTATTATTTAGAAGCTACTTTATTATGGAAATTCAAAACATCTGCACCATTCTGACACTTTTGTTTGTTGTGCTTGTGGTCAAGATAAACCATACTTCACTCCACAGCTCCACAAGACATGTAGTATTACTTCAGCCCCAATTCCGCTAAGCTTGTGCTTAAATCCAGCACAACGAGCAGTTCTGTTGGACTTACTGAGCCCAAAAACCAAGCACACGTTTACCAGTTTACATCATCTGCGTGAAGGTGGGTGGGTGGGTGGCAGAACAGCAAACCAACTCCACGTACAGAGTATCCCACACTCCCTCAGCGCTTTCGTTAACACCAAGTCCATACAGCGAGACCCATGAGGAACAGGAACAAGTACCCATCTTGTTCTTACTGAAAGTGCACTCACAGCACTATCAAGTCGCACCTTACTGAAACGGCCTTCCCGGATTGTGGAAAGATGGAAAAAAGCCTACATGACATTGTCTTTCTAACTTGAAAAAGAGGAAGAATTTAATCTCTAACATTTCAAGTGACTGACATCAGCCTCAGTTAGATCTGTCATCTTTATGCTATATTCACCTCAATTTTTCTTCAATTTCTTCAATTACTTTCTAATTGAAATAGTTACTGAATGAATTTCCAAGTCAGAGTGGTAAGACAACTGGATCTGCCGCATTTCAACACCGTTGAAACACAGATTTGGATAATGTGGTTAATTACTTTCTTCCATTCTGAACACATACTGCTGAGATTTCAGCCTTATTCTCTTCTGATACATGTACTTTATTTTATCTGACAACCGATTTGAAACAAAGCACAATAAAGTACTTAGAGTAAATAAGAGTTTGTATTTTCTACCTTCTCTCCTAGTGATTTTAAATTTTTTGCTAAACTCACTGCATGTTAACCAGCTACATACATAGACATGTTCAAAAATTTAGCATAGTATTTCCACATAGAAGTTCAGTTTTGAAGTCAAACCACGCACGGGTTTCTATGTTGTCAAAAACAAAGGTCTCATTTCTAACAGGAGAAGTCATCCACCTCAAAATAACAGCTAGCATCTCCAGTGATTTCCTGAAATAGGGTAGAGAGAATAAAGCCAGTAAATCAAACATACTCCCCATACTCACAGATTTTAGAGGAAACGTGATCTAACTTAGGCTATGAATTTTAAAATATACTCCAAACAGAATATGCCATGATTCCCCACAGTACAGACACAGTAGTAGCAGGGCGAATGGACAGCTATTAGCAAATTCATTTTAAAAGCATCTGTATGGAGACAGAAGCATTCCTAGGTTCCACAATGAAATAATTAAGCATGTGTGGCTTCAGAAAAGCAGAACCAAGTCTTACTGGTGTCACAGGAGTTCTCACCTTTGGGAAAACCATCTCACTTCACAGAAACACCTAAATACGGGTTAGTGCCACTGTAATCCAACATAAGATACAGCTTTTCAGTTTGGGGAGATACAAATCTGAATTAGGTTAAATTTGACCTTGACTACAGTCCTTATTCCAACAGCACATTTTTGATTCTTTGGAAATCAAATCTTTGTAAATGCTACTGTGCCAGACCTGCTCCTATTCTTCAGACCTCCAGCATACGCAGCCCAGATTAAGTTTGCAGTGAAAGTACTCACTGGTAAGGCAATATGCCTAAAAACAATCAATAGGAAACTGGTTATTTTGAATGACAATCAACCAAATTCACTGCCACGCCATAAAAGCTGAGAGTTTCATAAAATTCTACAGATCTCTGGTTTAAACGGGTAATGAAGCTTTGGACAGCTCGAAGATGCAGATGGAAACACTTTGAAAGAACAAACATAAATCCTCATGATGTACAGAACAAGCCAGCTGCCCAGCGGTTGTCGTTAAGTAGCTGATTGGGGGGAGAGGGGTTCATGGTGGGGCTTGGGGTTGGGAGAAGTTGTCTTGTTCTTTTAAGTTAGCTTTGCATTCCACAAAGAAAAGTTCTTCACATGTGCTACACGTCACTACCCGAGACAGGACAAACAGATCCAGCCTGAGGAATCCTAGCAACCCCCGTGCTCCTCTGCATCCTCATCCGCAGGCACGGCACTGCTTTCAGGTTCTGGTGCAGGAAAGCCACAGCACCACTCCGTAGAGTCTCCAAGGGCCCAGCACCACTGACTAACGCTTACCTGCAGATTACCACCGCCCTGACGAGCTCAGCATTTCATGCACCATGTGGTGTCATTACTTTGTCATCATTACCTGTCTTGTAATCAAATATGCCTGAAAAAAACGGAATACTCTTAGTTGTGCAAGGAACTGATGAAGTTGTTATACAAAGAATGAGAGGCTGATAAATCTACTGTTCAGCATTACTTAATGATTTCCAGCTTCGAAGTAGTCACCCACCAGCCAAACCTTTCAAATAGTCGTTAGAACCAACAAGGCAGAAAAAAATTGAACCACTTTCGCTTTATGAAAGTACGTTGGCAAAACGCCCAAGTAACTTGCCCACAGTTTAGTGTGAGCAAAATCTAAAGGAATTCAAGAGACTGCTGATTTACAGCTCCTATCATTAGACAGCATTTGTTTCCAAATATCCAAAATAACTAAAACCAGCTATGTATCTTTCATATAGCAAGACATGCTTCCAAACATATTAGCTCAAAGATGCAAATTAAAGTATCAATCAAGAGTGAAAGTCCAGTTTGTATAGTTTAGTTCTAAGTCACTATGAAACTGAAGTGTGTTGCAGCTTTTCCATACATTTCTCTTCAAACATCCTGTGAGCAGAGCCTGTCTTCCCTACAACTGCTCCTCCTTGCAGTCCTTAAGACAGTGGGGTTTTGAGAGATATTCCACAGCCTTTTTATGGAATCCACTCAGATAACTAAGAAAAGCTCATTAACAAGCAGTCCAAAATCCACTATGTAAACCTCTACAATGCCTCTGAAAGGGGATTTAGACTTTAGCAAGTCAAGAAAAAAAAAATGTTAAAATATCCCAGCTTCTCAACTACCTCCTGAGCCCTCTTCGGGAAATTTCCACCTGAAAAAAGACTTGCTGAAGCACCTGCACAACCTATTACATGCTCTATTACTTTGGGTGGCGTATGCCAAGACAACGTATATAATAATGGAAAACCAGGGACAGTGTAGGCACTATGCAGGAAGGACTGGCACCATACACCCGCAGCTCAGCCCCTCTGCTAGGAGCCGACCTGGCTCCAGCAGAGTGGGGCAGCTCTGGCGCAGCATCCCCCCGGCCATGCCCGTCTCCCCAGGCTCCCGAGGGCCGCACAGGCACACGGAAACAGCTCAGGCCTGAGGCAGCAGGCTCGCCGACATCTCTGCTGGAGAAGGGCAAGTCAGACCCAACCCTGTGAGCCTGCGGAATCCAACTAAGACAGCAGCAGGCCCACAGCATGGGCACCAGCAGAGCCTGGATGCTTCTTGTAGTGCTCCTCTGCTTAAAAAAAGCAAGAGGTTAAAAAGAGAGCACACGCAAGGATAGTTGGTAAGCACAGAACTCTCCTTGGGCTCCTCCTGCTTTGGTACCTGCTATTATGGGGGAAGCGATCGAACTGCACCAAGGCACCCGGAGGCTGGAACACGGCTTCCCTGCAGCGAATCCACACGCACAATTTCCATCAACTACTAGTACAGGAGGATTGTTATCTGGAAAAG